CCCTAACCCTCTAACCCTACTGTTGCAATACCCAACCCCAGTTTGGAGTCACTGGTAGTTATAGATTGAAAGCAACAGAGAAAGCTGGAAATTCAGTATTACACAATGACCCCATGCTATATGATGTAACAAAACTCAAGGCCACAGGCCCAAAACTACAATAAGAGACATTTTTTCATTTTAAACAGGGTGTAATCCTGGTATGCAGGCAAGGTTTTTTTTTCCATTTTAATCACGGTGTAACCCTAGTCAGCAGACACTAACCCTAAGGAGAGAGGTTTTTTCATTTTCCGTCGGTGACCGAATTCAGCACTCCTTTTTTCTTTCTCCTGCATGCTTTTGAAGAACATGTGCCAGTTTTTGGTGGTTTAAAGGTTGCAGGTCAGGAAATAGGTCCAAAATTGCCTGCGCGGTCCAAATCACGATTTGTAGACTTTGAAATTCTCTGCTATTAGAGCCTTTCGTGGTGGTTTGTTTAAAAGGTGGATGAAATGCAGGCGACAGACTGTCAGCTTGTATATCTGAAAGTATCAGACCAAACGGGACACTCCAAAGTGCTCTATTTTGCCATTGTGTGTAGGTATCAATTTCCAAAATGGTGATGGGCCTCCTGGTTGTTTTGAGGGGTGATTTTCTATGGAGAGAAATATCTTCAAAATTCATCGGTTAAGCCAGTGAAAATTGAAAGGAAAAAGAAAGATGAGGATGTCAGCTTTAATTTGATATGTGTCTTGAGCACCTGTGAAACCTGTGGGTATTTTTCCTGATTTTTGAAGTGGGGATATTTATCACTGTTGTCTATGGCAACAGATTTACTGGATTGCACCCATAGACTGGTGTTATCACGGCGATTCCATAGACTGCCGTTATTATGGAGACTCAATAGACTGCCGTTATTATGGAGACTCCATAGAATACCGTTATTATGGGGTCCCAAATTCATATAGATGAGAGTGAAGATACCCACATCACTCCATAGACTGCTGTTATTATGGAGATTCCACAGACTACCGTTATTATGAAGACTCCACAGAGTACCGTTATCATGGAAACTCCATAGACTACCGTTTTATGGACTCCATAATTTACAGTGATTAAGGGGTCCCAAATTTATAAGGATGAGAGTGAAGATACTTGCATCACTCCAAGCTTCATCATGGAGACTCCATAGATTACCATCATTATGGGTTCCCACATTTATAAATATGAGAGTGAAGATACCTGCATCACTCCATAGACTACCGTTCTTATGGAGAGTCCATAGACTACCGTTATTATGAAGACTCCATAAACTACTGTTAGTATACAGACTCCATAGATTACCGTCATTATGGGTTCCCAAATTTATAAGGATGAGAGTGAAGATACCTGCACCCCTCCATAGACCACCGTTATTATGGAGACTCCATAGATTACCGTCATTATGGAGTCTCTATAGATTACCACCGGTTTTTTTCAGAACCACAAACTCATATAAGAATTTTTTTACATGGTGCAACCGCAAGCCTAGCTTATTTAAAACACGTAAAGAATTTGTCTACACATACGCAACCTATTTTTAAAAAAGATTAATTTTACCGGGTTGTAATATATTGTATGAATATAATCGTCTCTTTACAATGATTTCAAACAATACTTTAACATTCTTTTTCTTCAGGGAACCCCATTGTTCGGAAAATGGCATGTGACTTTCCATTTGCGACAAGTTAATTGAACAAAAGAATCAAGTTATCTTCAATATTATTCACATGTAATTATCGAGTGTAACTGTCCCCGCATGCTGTCGTTCACCCCCAGCATGGAACAGTTCAGATATTCTTATCCTGATTTTTACAGGTTGTATATCTTTCCAACTCGTCCTTTGCAAGAGATTTCTCGTGGTATGTCTTAACAGTTATCGGTCTCGTCTCAGTGATTTGGGATAACATTGTTCATGGGTTAAAAAAATTAAGTTTATATCTTCTGCAAAAAAAATTACAAAAACACGAAACAAAAAATACACATTATTAAAATTACGAAGCCAGGGATAACCAAAAAATTGCTAAAAACACGGCTTATTTTAGTATAAGCACATACAACTTTAAAATACATGTAATTGAAATTATGTATGCACTATGATGTAGTGCAATTGAGGTGATTACAATCAGACCGTTTAAGATCAAACTGAGAATTAAGACGGCTTTTCACTACTCTTTTCAATCGATTATTGTTGTTATAAGGTAGTAAATTTCATTAATGAATTCTGGTTTTAAACAATGTATTGCACTCTAGCCCTTTTATTTTTGGAACTACAAAATTGGTGGAACTAGGTCCCTTTGGTAGAATGGCAATGCATGATAATGTTTTCAGTAATTGGAAGACTTCTTTTCAATTTAACAGGCAATGCAGAATACCAGGATGAAGAACAATGGTGAAAATGACTTTGTATGGGAGTAAACCATTGGTTTGAGAGAAAAGTGTTTTGCAAGATCTCTCATTTAAACAGTTAGCATATTACATGTAATAACGAAAGTAAAATCTAGCACTGGCCAGGTAAAGTCCAGTTTGGTGTTTCATTATTGATGTTTAGCTTAAACTTTGCAGATTCTTTGGGAAGGTGTTAGAAAACAATTACTGACTGCTTTATCTCGCGGTACAATTAAACTGTTCTCCCGAGGTGATCCATGGGGAGGGAAAATGGAATGCTCCATGATATGGATCACCTCCGGAGGTTAGTTTTACTATACCACTCGAAGCAATAAATATTTGTATACTATACGATGTACGATTGGCAACTTAATCGACGGTATTGAAGCGTAATCATTGGCTGGGTAATTAAACAGTGACGAATTCTAGGCTTCATGATACAAATTTTCTTTTTGCCCATTTTTTCATTTTTTCCCAATAAAATATGACTGAAATCAACCCTAATTGAAGAAAGGATGAGATAAAAATCAGAAAAAACAGCACCAAAGCCTTAATAGAACGTACTTTACAAGCACGGGAGAAGGAAATGAAAGAAAACGGTAAAAGCGCCTTCTGTGAACAACATGAAACGCCATGACGTGTCGCGTCGTGCGTCGTTTCGTGCATCGCGTTGTGCTTCACATGACGTAATAGGCGACGCGTGCGTCATGTCGTATACTATTTACGACAAACATTTCTCTCTTTCTCTTTTATGGTGTTCTATTGCCGCCACAATTGTGTCGCGTTGTCCCGTCGCCCCGACGCCACGACGTGACGCTACGACAGCTCCGTCGCGTCGTGCTGTTGCGTCGTGGCGTCGCCTCCTCTCTCATTACTTTATGCTGCGTATAATGCATTACGTCGTGCCGTCGCGTTGTGCCGTCGTGACGTAGCGTGGTGCCGTCGTGTCGTGGCCTTCACTCCGTCGCGTCGTGACGTCGCCCCTTGGCCTCGTGCCGTCGCTTTGTGCTGTCGCCGTCGCCTCATTACTGGTAGAAATAGGGGGCACCATTAGAGACAGAGTTAAGTTCAATTTTCATTTTTCGTGATCAACTCTTGTAGGCCCTTTGGGTGCATTCCACCAAATCGTTGGATTCCTGGGCGAGAGCTCATTAATATTTTATGATCCCCGGGGCTTTCACGATAAGACATGCCATAATCAGGAGGGATCATAGAATCATTTCTATAAATCCCGAATTTGGGACTGATTGTTTCCACTTCGGGGTATTTCTTTCACAAAAAGCCCCAAATTGCGTACCTATTTTGGAAGTGGGCGGCTACATTCAGAGTGCAGAGTTTTACTGCTCTTTGGGGATATCATGGGGGAGAGGTGATTAAAAAAAATCAGGTGGCTATAACCCCCATAAAATGGAAACGATCTTCAGGCCGTAGTCTTGAATTTCCAGTGAAAATCACGCGGCGCTATTTCGGTTTGATTTTGCACTGTTTTCTATGGGCGCGCGTATTTGATGTAGTGCAACCATTCATCTCCATTATAAAGACTGAACAGGTTATCGCCCATTGCGTGTGTACAAAATGTTCGGCCGTACAATGGCAGTGCGCTGCGTTTGAGGAAGGTAATGTGATGCTGTATGGTGCGCATTTAGTCAAACTTGATTGTGGAGAAAAACATTCTAATGCAAGAGTACCATTTCTCGACTTAACAGACCATTTTCTTATTAGATAACCCACTCAAAACTAATAAAAATTAATTTATATAACGGGTTTTGCCCTTACCCAACGTATGTATTAACCCTAACAGTCCTCAGTCCTCCAACAGGTGAAGGATTGAGGACTGTTAGGGTTAATAAACACTGTATGCTTAGGGCTTGTCCAAGAGCTTGCTAAAAAAAAAAAGTCACAAGCTTACTTGGGTAGGACTCGAACCCACGACCTCCTGCTTATTAGTGCAGACTCGACCACCGAGCTTGCCGAGGTCGGTTGGCCGGTCCGAGTCAGGTGGAGTAGCGGGTACCGCGAACTATTTTCAAGATATTTTTTTATTAATATATACGTTGGGTAAGGGCGAAACCTGCTATAATTAACATCTCCCAACGCAATCTACGACGACACGACGCGACATCCAACGGCACGATACGACGCGTCGCGACGGCACTAGACGGAACGGCACGACGCGACATCATCAACACGATGGCGAGACGCCACGACGGCACGACGCGACGGCAAGACGGCACGACACAAAGTATTAAACACAGCATAAAAGTAATGTTTCTAGAGGCGACGCCACAACGCGACGGGACGACGCGACGCAATTTTCACGGCTATAGAACACCATATAAATTTCGCCACTTCCGTCGCCCGTCGCGTTGCACCATTGCACGACGCGACGCGTCGTGTGCGTACAAACATAGTTGCGTCGCCTGGAGGGAGGCTGGAGAGAGAGAGAAACGTGTGTCGTAAACAGTACACCATACTTCGAATACGGTTAAGTTATGCACGACATTTACATATAGAACTCCATCGTGCTGACTTGACTGAACTTGTGGTGGCGCATTCCAATTTCCAGTTCCATCATGGCTGATCCTCCGATGGCGTTTGTGTTTGGGACAACTTATTACTATTAGATTCGTATTACATTGTGTAATGGCAAATGTTGATAAGCTGGCAAGGGCCTTCGATGCGTTGAAAACACATCAGCAAGGAGGCACCAGCGACGAAAGTGGCCTACGGTGGGTGTTTATGTCGGTAATTCAGCCTTACCATGCTAACCTTTATCGCCCCTGGGTGGGCCTAGGTATAGGCCTACGTACATGGCCTAGACCCGTAAACAGAGCCCGACGAATACTCCTCCATCTTATACTGGGCCCTGTTCCGATTCATATGGATTTCTTTCGAAAAATGTGTCCTGGATATCTGGGGGCATAACTCAACATCCACTTGATTTTATGAGCTGAAATTGCACCGGTATGTTCACTACTTACGGTGTAGGTAAACCATCCGCTAGGTTGCTTATTGTAAGTTGTATTGTTGTAGAAAACTTGCCTCTTCCTCGTTTGGAGAAAAAATGTATTCTTGTTTTGCCGTTTTCCCACTCCGTACGAACGTTGGCCTGACTTGTACATTATACAGACTCCTTTGTATGGGTAAGTAATGGTACCCTACACGAGAGCCTGTCTAGTTTGCACCCAGACTTCAGCACCTATGAATCTCGTTCAGATCTGCGAGAGTACCTGTTGATCTAAGTAGGCCTACAAGTAGAAAATTACGGCTGTTTTGTGTCGCATCTAATACACAACACCCTTGGCTGGTTCCCTGTCTAGTCGCACACTGCTTGCGGCAAATCATTGGTAGCGCAGCTCGCTCTCTGTAATGTGACACAAAATTGACGAAAAAGCCGTCAGTTTTGTGCAAGTGCGGCAAACTTCGTCCGGAGTGAGAAAATGGCAAAAAAGGCAACATTTTTTCCTCAAATGAGGAAAAGGGGAGTTTTCTACAATCAACAACCTAGCGGATGGTTTACACCGTAAGTAGGGAACATACATATTTACATATTATTATATATACATATTTCAGCTCATAAAATCAAGCGGATGTTTAGTTATGCCCCCGGATGTCCCGGATTACTTTTTCGAAAGAAATTCCTATAAATCGGAACAGGGTCCAATATACAACGGAGGAATATTCGTCGGGCCCTGTTTACGGGTCTACCATGGGCCCTGGCCGACTCACTCCTTACCGACTCGCCCTAGCTCTGCTGAGTGGAGCATTAGTATTCCTTTTTCGATTTTGAACGGGATCATTCAAAAGTGGCAATTTTTGCCAAACGTAAGCATTCCAAATAAGAGGAAAGAGGGAGCAAAGAGATGGTTTTGATCCCGGCTCTGTGACCAGTGACTCATGTGACTTTTAACTAACATACATGTACATGCCTCTTTATTTATTTATACCATCTGCCTTTTATTTTCCGAAATGTCAAATTCTGTATTGGTAAGCTGATAAAAAACTTTGGGGTTTTAACATTTTTGTAATATACAGGTCAGGAAAACTCTAAATGGGCTTGTAAAATATCCATTCAACTAGCCCAATGGGCTAGCCAGGAAAAAAAGTTAGCGCAAGGCCTGCTAAGACTGGCCAACAAAATATTCACTACTGCTTGAAAGCTTGGTGCATTAGGAACCATTTCATCACAGGAAGTGATAGTGAAATCCAATAAAATATGCTTTTGTACAAAAGCCATAATAAAAATAATTCAAACAAAACACAAGATCTTCTAAACAACCGGGCTATTTATTCCCAAAGTAACTCCAGAAAAAAGAGCTCATTAAGGGCAATGACTGCACATAATTGAGGGCACACAGCGTAATGCAAGCAACTGCGCAAGCATTTAATTTGATGTCATGAGATCATACCGAGCACCAACAAAGGCATGAGTATTCAATTTCCTATACCTCAGTGTCACAGAGTGATATTAAATCGGAATTACTCTTAAAATTTATAATACCGTACATGTACAATCTTGGCCCTATTTGTTGCAAAGATAAAAGTCATTCCAGCCTAAAAGGGACAACTTCATCAAACTCTGTCCATGCTCTCTGACGGCATTTTTTTTTAATTCTCCCATTGATTGTGTAAAAATTTGTTTCTCCACCCAATTTTGGCCAGATAAACAACCGTGCTATACCATACCTGTGTGTTGTTTAGCCTTGGTATACAGGTACGTGTACATGTACCGGTACCATATACTCATCAGTGCATATTAAAACTGTATACACGTACCATGGTACACATGTAATGTTACTGAATTAGGCCAATTTTGGGGGGGCTCGTCAATTTCATCATAGTGCTAATCAAATGACAGTATGATCAGCAAATTTGCTAATAAATTTTATATTCTTATTTCCATCACTGGACCTGGGCTACAGAGTCCTTGCTCTATTTTTGAGGACACTCTCCTATCATAATATTAGTATGAGTGAACTTGCCCCTCAACCATGTGAACTGCTAAAATGAGCAACAAGTTCACATTGTATCTTGATGTCTGCAAAAAAATTTATTTGGCATCATTTCACTTTACAGGAAAAAAGATGGCACTCTCAATAAGAAAGAAAGAATATCTCACTGTTCTACCATTGCTGATGGAATTTGCTCTTCATCATTCAGGTTGGTGAAATCTTGATAATACATGTACACCGTATGTCGAAGATGAAAACCAGATTTGTGTGTATTGAACAGTGATGTAATCAAATCATACTGGTAAATCGTATTTGTTTCATTTAGCATTTGATTGAACTTTTACCTTTATGAACTCTGCTACCGTACTTCCATGGACCTAGTGCCCTGAAGTGCGATTGCAGATATGAGGTGCTCTAGGAGTGTTCTTTATTAGTATTAATGATGTGCTCTATGAGTGTTCTTTATTATTATGATGCCACACCTTCATACGGCTTCTAAGGCTAGTCAGTGGATTTCTTGAAATTTATAGGTTTTTAATGAACTTAACTTTTTCGTAGAAGTAAATCAAGGTTAAGGTTTTTAAGGTTTTTAAATATGTGATTCTGCAAAATATTTGGACATGTTGGAATTAAATACTGTAGGAGACGGGTTTCTTTTTCCAAATATTACAAAACCCCAAAATTTACCTCCACTTGACTTCAATATGACTTTGAACCCTGAAAATGGGAAAGAATGCAATGCGACTTTACTCTCATTTTGTTGTGACAGGTCACAAATAATGTACATGCTTCCTGGATTCCTCAATTACTGTACATTTACATGTAGCAAAAGCACATGTGTGCATTTGGAGTCAAGTTGGCCTTGTGCGTCTTTCCTTTCCTGCAACCTCTACAGTCTGGGTTTGATTCTTGGCTTTGGTCGTATGATTTGGTCTTTAGTGCCTTCCTGAATCCGTGAGTTTTACCCAAAAAATTCCTCGGGGGGTTTCTGAAACTCTAAAATTGTGACTGCTTCTCATTGTTTCCTCTGTGTATATGTAGGTTTCTTCATGCTTGCAACAGTGAAGAGTACTTTAGAGGAATCCTTTACATGTACATGTACCAGAAATAATAAGTGAAGATTAAACATTTGATGCATGCCCACGCACTGAAAACGTATAGGTACCGTACATGTGTACATACATTAAAGGAGATTTCTTTGTTGTGACACTTTCCACCAGCAGAGCTGTGGCTGATTTTCCAAAGTTTTTGGGTATTGCCATGGAGCTGTTTTTTGCTGCCTGTGATGATGAAGATTCTGATGTTAGATTGAAGGCTGATGAGTGTTTGAACAAGTGTATTAAGGTAACAAGAACTTTGTAACAGCTCTTAAGATTTTAGCAATCCGTAGTAAAATATGGTGAACACTGTAATAGCAAAACTTGGTTTTCGTCATGCAAAATATCAACCGTCACATGTACTGGTTGTCGTAATTATTTTTGTACTTCCATCAGGTATCCATGGATGGTAACTTAGGGCGTGTGCAATTGGAGCTGTACAAAGAAATCAAAAAGGTAAATCAAACATTCAAGCATTAGTTACGGCATAAAACTACGGCATGTTGTATTTTGTTCTTCCACTTGTGTACATCTTGAGAGCTTAATCATTAATCAGTTGTGAATGGTTTTATTCCACAAGGAATTTGTCCCTGGCAGTCTCACATATTATTCTTTAGGCTAAAAATATTAATTTTGCGATCTAAATTGCCAATCAATAATTTGAGCATGTGTACAGTATGTTAAGTATGTTTTTCAACAAACATTTTACCAGTTTATATTTGGATGACTGCAAATGATGGAAAAAAACCTTAAAGCACTTTTGAAATGTACAGTTTTTACAAGATGTGTATTGATAGTTTGATGTGATTCATATAGAATGGGCCATCCCGTTGCCTTCGTGCTGCCTTGTGGCGATTTGCATCCTTAGCACATCTTATTCGACCACAGAAATGTCGCCCCTATGTCATCAATCTACTTCCATGTATTCCAAAGATCTCCAGACGACAGGATGATGCAATACAGGTACATATTGAAGAAAATCAACACAGCATTTATGGAAATCCTTAGTATTCATGAATATAAATCCATCAATGTTTCATTTTCATGAGATTTGTAAAATTACTAGGGGAAATAGAAATATTCTCAGTTGTTTTGAGACAAAAAAACTGGAGATAAACATCGGCCTGATGAGCCAATATGGCTGAGATCAGACCTGCCTTTTTATGTATTAATTAAGCCCCTGAAAATATATGTGTTCATTTTACTTATTGTTTCTCCTTTCATTTTCCCTTGTATTTACTGAGTATGTGGTATAAACCTACGTGTAGTTCACTTTTTACATTTTTACATTGTAATCTTTTTTTTTATTTTGCGATCATACCGGTAGCCTGTATTTTTTAAATGTGATTTTCATGTATCAACTTTATACTGAATTTTTTTTTATAAAATCTTCCTGTTGTAAACTTGAATGCCTTCAGCCTTGGGCTGCTTTTAATTCACCTTTACTACGTAATATTGGCAATTATACACAGGGACTTCAGTGACAGAGGTGACCAGGAAATGTAGGGTAGTAGGGAACTTAATGCAAGTTAAAGGATAGGAAGAGGAAACAACAAGGTATAGGGACTGTTGAAGGAGGGGAATTAATTACATTCACTAAAATACGATGTTCTGATTTGTTGGCTCTAGTCTAACTTTGATGTCAATTCGTTTTTGTTTCTCCATTCAAACTGATCATTTCATAACTTTTATATTTCAGGAGTCACTCACCAACTTCATGCAAAAGGTCCTGCCAATTTTGGGCTCCTTCCTTACTGATACAGAAGTCAAGGTACTCTGCTGTACATGTATCAACACTTGAAAACATACAGACACCTCTAAAAAAATCAAATGGCCCTTCCTTTTGAAACATGCCTGCCATTTATAAACTTCAGCTAATCATGCATCTGTAAAGGTTCCATTTTGTGTGACATAGGGCTCTTCTGTTATGGTCATTTACATGTATGCTTTCACACATTTCAGCCTTGGCCTTGGGTACATGTTTGTTGGAAAATTTGATATTTTTAGCCAAACCTTTTTCAAAAACGCTGCCTTTTTGTTTTGTTATTTAAGCAGCAATTATTCAAAGTGAAATCTCTAAGAAACTAAAATACATACATGTTTCATTTGTTCAAGGTCTTCTTATTTAACAAGAGTTCATTTTTTAGACTCACTTTAATGAGCTACACATGTATATATATCTCCGAAATCACTCATTCATTCTCCTGACAGTTTTTATGCTAATAAATCATTTTAACCTGAAATGTTTCCATATAGAACCTGACGAAGGTATTTTATCCAAATGTGAAACATCCTTCAGCGGCCACTCGACGTACAGCAGCTAGTTGCCTTACACTCGTTTGTTATCATGGGCGCAAACCGGCTGTATATTTCTCGATGCTTGTCAAGACATTACTCAGTGAGTTTCCAGGGCCGTTTTCCAATACTCAACTTCGTCTCTGTCTCAGGCTTCGTTCCCAAAACCAATCCCCGATTGTGGGCCTGACGTGTTTAAATTACATTGGAGTACTGTAATTTTGGCTCTCTTTCATCTTATTTGATGTTTTGTGGCACTATTAGACTGATTACTGCGCTTACAGCTTCGAAGTCAGCTAGTAAAAAAACAGTTGAAGCCTGAGACGG